TATACCGTAAGTATACCCCCTCCATCTCCATCTCCACCCCCTCCTGTACAACGTCTACCTCTAACTCAACTTTCTCGCTCTCAACTTTCTCACTCTCTACATACTGGCAGGCATTCGATAATAATCAAGAATGCATGTAATCTTACAAGAAGTGGTATTTCGCGCTTGGCCATGGGCACCTTGTAATCGTATTCGTAGTCGTAGTCCCACATCTCTACTGTGTTTCCATCCCACACCCTCGAGTAATATTAGTTTAATCTCAGTAGATAGGTAGGTAGGTAGGTAGGTAGGTAGGAAAGTCTCATAACTTATAACATAACGCAATCATAAAAAGAAATACCGGTAGAAGAAACTTTGAAATTGAAATTGGCGAATTGATATAGAAGGGAAGTATGCAGAAATATATATAGAGGGGTCCCATCATCAATATCTTCCCAACTTCTATCTCTATACTCCATTCCAGAAGCACTCGGACCTCGGGTCAAGAAGCAAGGGGCGAATTCCTCCGAACAATGTAATGTATCGCTTAGACCTATCTTGTCTTGTCTTTACACTTATGAAAATCCTTATAAAAATCTTTTACTTCAATTTTAACTATTCTCTTATAAACTAGATTTTATGCTTCCCAAGTTCCCATTCCTTCCTTTCTTGCTTTCTTCTATCTAGATTCCAGATTCCATCCAGTTTATTTAAGTAATTTAAGCCTTAAGTTGTGAGATTTCACTATATAGGTCAGTTTAAGTTAGAATATGAAATGAAAAAAGCTTATTTTATTAGCTCTAAAACTTCTTGTTTGGTTTTAAAAACTAACGATGCTAGCGAAGCCAGGGTATATACGTACATACATACAACAGTTAAACTCAATCGACAATGCAAGGTAACAAGCACCATGCTGCAAATTCGCGGTACAGGTACAACTTTAGACTAGATACCTCGTTCTAGATGAAGAGTTCGATCGATTTCGGGATCGGGGTAGGGTGTTGCACTCAACCTAATAAGTGACTTTCGAAATTGAAATTGAATTTGGAGAAACATGATGTACTATAATGGGATATTAAAATAACAAGCCATAGGCGTAGGCGAGATTTGAGTACTCGAGTATATAAAGATATATACATACAGTAACGACTGTGGGCAAAGAGCCGAGCCGAGTCTGATTAGAAATTAGAAATTGGGATATGGGGTGTGGTGCAGCCTAATGAATGGATGAATGGGCTGTATGAGTATGCAGATGGGAGAGGGGATAGGGATATTTCTTTCGCTATGAAATGATGTGGATTGAATCGACAATGCGATTGTAAATGTGAAGTAGATAGGATTTGGAAAGAAAGGGAGAGAGCAACACATCGATGCTGGCCATCTTCTATTAAAAAAAAAATACAAAAGAAAACAGAGAGAAATGAGAATTGAAATTGTATCACATGTATAACAAGTATGACTGTCGGAAAGGGGTATATGTATATGTATATACAGGGCTTGTACTTATACAAAAGGGGACATGATAATATAATTTCCAAACAAATAAAAATATAATGTTATATGAAATGTGAAATGTGAAATATGAAGGCAAAAAATACAAAGGATGTAGCATACCGGTCGGTATACGACCCGGCTGATGATGATGATGATTCGCCAAGCCCTTTAGCTATCAACCTAGGCAAATGGTTAGCGATTCCGCGATGATTGAGGGGTATTACTGTACTGATAGGATTGGAGTACTGAAAAGAGGATTAGTGGGATATTGCATTGCAGATTGAGGGGACCCCGGATTGATACTTGTGTCTACATATGTACTCGAGTATTGAGATGTCACTTTCCTTGATTGGCCGTTTTACGCGTTCTAGGCGAAGCAAGTGGAGCAAAAGCAAATGTGGTACTATATTGTAACATTATATTATGACATTATTGGGTATTGGGTATTTGTTTATAAGTATTTATACAAGGACCTTCAATCCTGTCTATCTTTACTATGGGCTCGACCATTTTCAATCTCAGGAGACGATGATTTTTCCCCATCTTTGATTTCGATGACTTTCATATCGAGGTTGACGCGGAATTTTTTGCCTCTCCACATCACCGTTGTCCCACCAAGACAAGCCCATGTCCAGATAGGTAACGCGAGGATTTCTCTGCCGAGCCATGCTGAGGCCCACTCTTTAAAGGGTCTTCTGGATCTTGTGCGCGGAGGTCGTGCGAAGGAAGGCGTGTTTGCATCCAACTCAATAGAGGCACCAGAATGAAGGTTGGCGTGAACAAACCAATCAAGTGTCATCCACGCAGCAACATTAGACAACCAAACTACGGTAAAGGCGAGCCACGTTCGGGATACCCCTAGGTTTTCATGAAACCAAGGTAATGTCGTAATTGCAAAGGAGCCATAAGCTGAGCACAAGAAGGGTTCAACCCCAGGTTCGACAAATGTGGCCAGTGTGACAGTCCATTTTCGAACCCTAAGCCAACGGACTCGACGTGCGACATATTCCCATACAGACATACTGGCCATTGGTTGGATAGCCAAGTCACCATATACTAAGCCGTGTTTCTTCCATTTTTCTCCCGCCTTTTCTTCCTGTATCCGCTTTCGCCACAACAAATCCCCAATCAAATGGTCTTCGCAAATGTTTTCTGAGAAGAAATCGATTCCCGGAGCATAATCAGAAGAAGTGGAAGTGAGATAATTTAGATGAGATCGTCTAAACATGTTTGATTTACCAACGATGCATGGCGCAATTGATACTGTATTGATTGCAGTGTAGAATTTTGCGTGTGACGATGCCATGAAGGATTCTTCGAAACGGCCACCGCCAATCCTTGCGCTTGCATCAAAATTGGACTCGTGTTTGGATACGATTGAAATATTGGAGGCCAAGGAATTAGTGGACGAGATTTGCTGTCCGGCGGTGAGAAGGCCTTCAGTCTCTGTCCCTGTGCTGGTTCCAGCGGTATCTACAACTAATGGTAGTAAGTGAACCAATTTGTATGGTGTTGCCCTTGATCCGTCCGCCTTAAAGCCGCATAGTTTGTCGATCATTCGTCCAGCAGTACCAGCCCCAACCCAGACATTGCAATCGATTATCCACACAATATCTCCCTTTGCCTCCCTGTATCCGCGGCTCATATTTCGAATCTTAGGATTGGGACCAAGGTTGCCAACTTCGCCTCCATGGCCACTCAGATTTGGATCTTCCTCTTCTATTAGAATCTTTACATCGAATTTTGGAAAGTCCGCCAGCAGATGTTCAAGAACTGGGTACGCAGGATCGGTCGATGAACCAACACAGAAGTATATTGTCAGCTTTTCCAATGGGTATGTCTGTCTAAATGTGGCCGCGAGGCATTCATATAATTGTGGTTCGAGTCCTTTAACTGGTCGTAAAATCGTAACATGAGGAATTTCATTGCTATCTAAATTTGGAGAAATGGCAGGCTTCGGATTCGAAGAGTAGTGTCGGAACCTTAATAAGATATGTCAGCATTTAATTGCGAGTCAAACAATAACCACGGGGGAACCTTACAGTTGGGTAGAGCCTATCGCTTGTACGAGCAAGATGAAGAAATACCAAATCCAAGAAGCCAAGGCTATGGTGTATATTATAGTTTCCTTTTCCATTGTTGAGTGTATGGAAGTATGGAAGCGGGAGTGTCGAGGACTTGTGGTTAACACCAGTGGTTTTCGAGAGTAAAAGCTCTCTGTTCAGTTCCATCGATGAGAGTAATCACAGCAATTCAGTAGTCAGGGTTATAATACCCATAATACCCACTCCGTACACCATAATGTTCCACACTGCCGCTCGTACCAACGAAAAGGACTCTTTATCGAGTATAAGTGTATAAGTATTAAGGTTATGAAGCTTATGTAATATTCATGGATAGTATTACATAAGCGGAATTTACCGGGAAAAGATTTTGTGCGCCGTCAAAACTCCAAAATTTCTTCACCTTGCAAATAATCATTTTCCCATCTTCAATCATATCACAATTTCACAATAAATCTATTTCATCGACCACAACATCTTCTCCCACAAGTAGGAGAAGAGTTTTGGCACTTTGTAAGTCATTTTACCCCTTTCTATGTACAATTCTTCATGGTATATCCTAAACCCGACAGTCCAATGTAATTTGGCTGTCATGCAATGTGGTGATGATTCAATTAGATGCTTAGAGTGACGGCTCTGACTTTGTTCGTCCTCTCTGTACGCTCAACTCTCTTCGGAGAAGACTACAACGGTATCTGAACATTGCAAAAATTTACAAATCACTGTTTCAATTGGCACACAAAATATTCACAAAAGTGACTAACCATTTGATTCATATAGGAAATCGCAATGACCTCACGATAGTCTCTTATTTTTCAATCATGGCAGACACAGAAAGAGTGGTTCCGGCTGATCCTCCCACCGAGATATCGACGCCTACAAAGCCCAAACATGTTGGACCTAGACCTCCGTCTAAGTTCCAGCAACTGAACAAACTTTACGGGCTTCCTGCTCCCATACGCACATTTCCTCTTCCCACTCTCATACCTCATAATCCACTTTCACTCTTCCATATTCTTTTTGTTTGGTTGTCACAGACAATCAATCCTCCCTCGTCACATTTTGATACCCTTTACCATGGCTGGTTCTCGCCTGAGACACGATCTATTCACATTACAGATTCTCGGTCTATCAGAGGTCTCTGGGAGCAAGGTTTCTATGGGAAAGGAAGTCTGAGTCGCAGTGAACCGAGTTGGCTGACGCGAGAGAAAAAACGACGAGGTGTTTCGAAAGCGATTGCGAGTGAGGATGTGACAAGGAAACGACGCGCCGATCGCCAACAAACCAAGTGGGAGCGGGCGAGAAAAGAAAGAGAAGCTATTGATCAGACTTTATTAGCAGAAGCAAGGGCAAATGAATTACCAAATTCGAATTTTATCGTTGCAGCAGAGGATGAAGTCATAGTCCAAGTTGACAATCTCACCGCTCTTGCTGAGCAAAGACAAGACGCACAAATTGTTGAAGAGCCATTGTCCAATTGCTTAACTGGTATAGATGACGCTACTTCATCTGATATTCCAATACTCGATGCGCCCACTGGTCCCATGCAACTTCTTGCTCTACCAAACTCTTCCATCGAGGTCATCAAAGCAGATATTATTGAAGACCCATTGCCTCAGTATGTAGTGAATGCCGATAAGGTTACTTCATTAAGCGTGGCATCATTCATTGCTCCTACCGGCCCTATGTCGATTCTTGCTTTGCCAAATTCTCTCGCCGAACTCGATTCCTCAAGAAACCGAAACTGTCCACACTCCTCGTCCCCGTCAACAGTCATTTCAACAATGGCAGAACCTGTCGTTAAATCTAATGTACCTTCAGCCCCGGTTGGTCCATTGGAATTGCTAGCTCTGCCAAACTCCGCCACTGATGCTTTTGCAACATATGATGAACTGAATTTTGGTATTGAAAAGGACAACGTGCTCTTGGAAGGAGCCATCACTCCCCCTACATCTGTTGAGATGGATATCAGTTTGGTCTCTTTACCTGAAAGTATGGGAGTAGAAACACAAGAAAAAGTGTCAGCGACCAATGACACCCTACTCAATGGCACAGCATCCATCGACAATCGTGCTGACGTCAACACATATGCTCCAATGACCCCAGTTTCAGCTATTTCGGCCCAGAACAGTGGATCTGATGGTGACGTACCTGGAAACGGCTCGTCAACATCGGCGATCGACCTTCAGAAGAGCGTTCGATTCTCTACAACTGTGGAACAAACCACTTTCTTGCCATCACAACCACCCAGTCCTGGGCGCACTGTTGCAAGTACAGAAGAAAAACCCCAGGCAATTTCCGAACTTGCTTCGGACGAAGAAATGGTTATTGAAGATAAGGAGCATTTCCAATTGACAATGGAAGAAGCTTTCTTTCTTTCTTATGGGTTAGGAGCGCTTACAGTCCTTGACCCCGTCACCAAATCTGCTATCACGAATCAGGATTTGTTCTCTCTTTTCAGAAAGTCATCTTATTTCCCACCTGTTTCAAATCCTAGTTTGTCAACAGATGATCCATTCCTGGTCAATTATGTTGTTTATCATCATTTTCGTTCTTTAGGTTGGGTTGTTCGCGGTGGAACAAAGTTCTCCGTTGACTATCTGCTATACAATCGTGGACCAGTCTTCAGTCATGCTGAATTTGCTGTTTTGATTCTGCCATCATACAGTGATCCTTACTGGTCTAGTGGTCCATTTTTACAAAACTACGTGAAAGGCAAGCAAGAAAAAAGCTGGTCGTGGATGCATTGCATCAATCGAGTTATCACACAGGTTAAGAAGACTCTGATATTGGTTTACGTGGATATACCCGCTCCTGTCGATGGAAGCGCGAAGGAAAATAACGTTGATAGATTACTTCAAAAGTACAAGGTGAGGGAAGTTGTCCTCAAACGTTGGTCACCCAACCGCAGCCGGGACTAAGCAGCGTAACAAGAAGTTCTATAGATATGTATCATATAAGATATACAATACCATTACGCACACTTTCAAAATTAAAATCAATGTTCCATAACTCCAATGTGAATATCATCCAAGCACATCAATGAAGTCCATAAGATGATAAATACTTTATGGAAAGTGGGGTACATGATCATCGCTGGCTGTACCTCTTCGATACAAAAACTTCCAGCCAATTAAATCGCAAGTTTCCTTACACCACATTCTACATGCCGGTCTACATGCATATTGTAATCATTGTATATGTTCTTTACCCAGTCATCTGCTCCTCATGGGTGAATGATTGCCGATTTATATTTTTGTTCACTTGGGGTTTATTTATATGTATGTGTATGTGTGATGTGTGTGATATGTCTGCAGCTGTCATAAATAGTGAATTATAATGACAAATGCACTAGGTAGTTCATCTTATACTCTTAGGAATAAATACAATATTAACAATTCTTTAACCTCTTATTATCTTGCCATTCTTGACAACAGCAGCTCTGCGTTAGCAAATGTGCGCTTGTTATCTCTGAAAGTCATATCTCAATATAATATTGAGATTTTAAGTGTGAATCGATATGTCGAATTCGGCAGAGAACAATATTGAGGCAAATGCGCGAAATACTGATGTTTCATCGGTTGTTCATAGTAATAAAGATGTCGAAGAACCATCTACGAAAATGAGAACGGTGCCAAATGTCGCACTCGCAGATGCGACGGCGAAACAAAAACCTTCGTTGTGGACTAGGAGAATGTTTCAAGTATTTATCTCTTCTCTCTTTCTATTCATTTATTTATTCATCTATTTCTCGTTCAATCCACCAAAATCTCCAATATATACTCGTACCATACACAAAATACTAACACAAAACAACCAAAGCTCTACGGCATCCTCTTCCTCGCAACCCTCAATGCGGCAGTCAATGGTTACGATGGAAGTGTAATGAGTTCTATTAACTCCTACGCGCAGTATCGAAGTTACTTTGGATTTTCACTGGTAGAGGGAACGCCGGCTACGGGTATTGTTTATGCAATTTTTACGATTGGGAATTTGGTGGGGGCGGGGTTTGCGGGGCCGGCTGCTGATGTATGTAGGTTGGTTGGTGTGATTTTCTTTGCTGTTTTGCTCTGTGCTTTGGGGATATGGTGGAGATTGGAAGGGGTTGGGAATGGGTTATGGTTATGGTTATTTTTATGAGGGAAATTGTGTTGATTCATTCTGATTGTGGGATATAGTGGAAAGGGAGACGTTGGGGCATGTTTTTGGGTGCGGGGATTGTTATTGTGGGGGCGGTTGTGCAGGCTACGAGTGAGAGTTTGGCGGCGTTTATGATTGGGAGGTTTTTGTTAGGTATGTGTTTGCCGTCAAACAGTGTCTGTGTGTAGTTGGATGCTTCAGGATGCTGATAAGAAAGGCGTCGGCGCTGCGATGGGTCCAAGTTCGGCCTTGCCTTAGTGAGTAGAAGATTATCTCAAGGAAGATTGGAGTGACGGGGTTGATCATTCTTAGTGTAAGCGAGATGGCACATCCATCTTTTCGAGGTGCTATGACGGGTGTTTATACTACATTCTATTTTGTGGGCGCTATACCAGGAACTTTCAGTGAGTGAATCTCTACTTCTTTTGCTTAAATATCATCTGATATGAATAGTACCATACGGCACGAGTTACATCAATGGATCACAAGCTTGGAGAATTCCTTTATGGCTTCAGATGATGTTCTCTGGAATCGTGTTTGTTTCAGTCTTGTTCTTGCCGGAGGTATGCTCTCCATTTACTAGAATGTCTAAATTCTCTAGGGAAAAGTGATGGTGACATTAACATGTGAGGTTTAGAGCCCAAGATGGCTGATAGCCAATGATCGACATGAGGAAGCCCTTGATATCATGGCAAGGTATCACGGAGAAGGTAACTAACATCTCATTTAACCACAATATCAATATTAACCTCCAGCTTTTCAAAAGATGATCGGCATTCTCCTCTGGTGCAACTAGAACTTCGCGAAATGATGGAAGAGATTTCGAAAACGGGGGCGGATAAACGATGGTGGGATTTTAGAGAGTTATTTGACTCGAGGGAAGTTAGGTATCGGACTATGTTGACTTGTGCTATTGCATTGTTTGGGCAGTGGACTGGTAATGGTACGTTCGCTTATTCCTTTCCTTCTGCGAGCCCCTGGCATGGGAAGAGAAGGGAAGAGAATGGGTTTCAGGCTAATCTTTGCTTAGGTCCGGTTAGTTACTATTACCCACAAATGCTAGCAGGTGCAGGAATTGAGGATAATCATACTCAATTGCTCCTCGTAAGTCTTCAACACACACTCAAATCAAGAATGGAACACTTACAAAGTATCAGCAAGGAATGCAGTCAGTCCTCTCCTTCGCCGGAGCTCTCATAGGAGCCGCCTACACCGACCACTGGGGCCGACGACCCCAACTCCTCATCTCCACCTCCATAATCTCGCTCCTCTTCCTCATAATCCTGATCATCAACGCTCTCAATACCACCACCTCCCCCACAACCCATCTCACCGTTGCAAAATCCTCAGCAGCATCTAACGCCGAAATCGCCATGATCTTTCTCTTCAGTTTCGTGTTTGCGGTGGGTTGGACTCCTATGCAGGGACTGTATGCTGTGGAGGTTTTGAAGTATGAGAGTAGGGCTAAAGGCATGGCGCTCTATACGTTGGTGGGAAATGTGGCGGGTTTTTATAATACTTTTGTTACGGGAATTTGCGTTTTCGGGGGCGGGTTGGAAGTATTATTATTTGTGGGTATTTTCTTGGGATTTGTGATCTAGGGGGATTGGAGGTTGACGATGGTTTGAGGAGTGAGGTGACTAATATTGGTGTAGATTTATCTTCTGGGATTTATTAGAAGTTGCCTTCATATACGTGAGTTCTCATCTCATCTCATCTCATCTCATCATACCTGTTCTCTCATTCTCTAATTCCCAAATCCACAACATCAAATCACATAAATCACATCAAATCAACTGACTCAATTCACAAAAACACAGTTCTTCTTCGTAGAAACCAAAGGTAGAACAGTAAGACAAACCCATTCCGCATCTCACCACTTCTTACATAGCATATCATAGTGTTTTGGACTGACTGCTGACAATCTATCCCCTTCATCTCATCGTAGCTCGAAGAACTTACCGAAATCTTCAATGCGGCGAAACCAGTCAAGTACTCGTTGCAGAAATCAGAGGTGGTTGTAAGAGGAACTGAGGGTGTAAGTGAGGTTTTGGGGAAGGAGATAGAGATGCAGAATTTAGGTTGAGATGGGGAATTTGGGTGGAGATGGGTTGAGGTGGATGAGATGGAGTGATGGACACACGAGGAGTCTGCTGTGCTGTGCTGTGCTGTGCTGTGCTGTGCCATGCTGTATTTGTGGGGATTACTCGTGAACTACCTAGGGTTATCATGGAGGTTATATGTGGTACGGGATGTAGAAAAAAAAGGGAATATCTTATGATCAACTCGGGTTTGGTTTGAGAATTAGTTACCAGTACTTAAATTTAGTTGACTTTGATGAATGTTGAAGGGCTGTTCTTGTAGGTGTGAGAGGGGTGTTCTTACCCTACAGACACCTCAGATAAGGTATTTCCTTGTTAATAAGGAATTATTGTACTCGAGTACTAAATTATATATTGAAATGCAATGAAGATTATGAAATGTACTCGAGTATTGACATTTTGTATTGAGATCTGAAATTATGATTTAAACCTAATATGAATTAGTTAATTTTTAGTTCGATATAATTAGCTTCATTTCTTGTACCCTAAATCAGTGGTTTCAAATTTATTCATATCTAGTATCTACCGAAACCTTTCGAACTTTTGATTAAAATCATCTTGAATAGTTTTAATGAAAGCTTTCAATATTCAGTAAGTTATAATGAATGGTTTCAATACTTCAATCGTTTATTTAAATTTAAACGATTGAGGGTTAGCGACGACAAGGGTGCGACGACGAGGTTCAAGTTATAGTATGAAATTCATGATATTGGAAGGGAGGCTAGGGAGTGCAATTGAGAGGTCCGGTAGATGGGGTGGTCATCGACATCGGAGGACTAACTTAGCTTTGAATCTCAATATATATACTAAATAGGATACTTGTCAAAAAAGGCCGATTTCCTTATTGAAGATAGAGAAAAATACCTTATCATGAATAAGGAAATAGCTTATCTGAGGCCCGTAGAGTGATTCCTAACAATGTCATTGGGTCAAAGATCGACATGCTTACAGCATCATTTATTACATCATACGAGGATCTTCCCTATTCGCTAAACTTTCCAAGTTTCAATATAAATACATCCTTCCCATCATACATCAAAGTCGATAGACTTTTGACTGACACATCACATTTCACATATTCTGCACAATCGACCCTGGAATCGACCATGGTAAGAACAAATCAATCAGCTCGCAGAATTACAGGTGGAATGCCGCCTTGATGCAGACCATCGACCGAATCTATCATCTACAATCCACTTCTCCTCTCATGTCCACCATGCCGCACATCACAAACAACTCAGATTCAGCATTCTTCTTCGGTGATCTCCTTTGATGTCAGCGATGCTGATGATTTCAACAAAACAAATCCTGGAACCTCAAAGATAACCCCGCACACCTTCGACCAAACATTACCCGCCTCAACATTCCACTCCTTCTCTCTTCTTCCTCTCGAAATTCAAACCCTCATTTGGGACTTTGCCGCTCACAGCGCAGTATCTATACCCCGCATCATCCCTATCCTAGTTCATTGCACGCTCAACTTTCCCCCAATGCCCCCCCACTCAGAAAAGCAACCCATCACCTTATCACCAATATGCACCACGCCACCTCTCCTCCACACTTGTTCGCTTTCCCGATCCCTTCTCTTGCCACATTACGAGCTGGTGAGTTCCGGTCGAGGTGGGTACACCCCCGAATATAACGATCCTGTTAATCCCGACGACGACTCGAGGAAGACATTTTATCTCAATCCCGAAGTCGACGTGTTGTATTTTACAAGCCTTCGAGTGTTCGACTCGGAACAAAATCAGCATTTTCCATGTCCTCATACTTGTGCAATATGTGTCAATGTTACGTTTGATCTGCATCGAGCACTTCGTGTGGTTGTTGGGAATCGAGATGTGAGAGTGCGTTTGAGGAATGTAGCGGTTGGCTTAGAGATACCAGGGTTACGCCCATATCGTCTCTTGGTTTCGGGAGCAGATGCGGATCTAAAAGGGTTGATGAGGTTATTTTGGGTGATGAGGGATGATGCGGTTATTGACGGTGGTGCTATTAGTCGTGAAATTGGGGAAGGAGAAGTTCTAGGACGAGCAGTCGATGACAGGTGGGCAGGGAAAGGGAAAATCATAGGGAAAACGGAAATCCCACAATTGATTGAGGACGGTAGGAAGATTCTTGACGGGCGAACACATGTAGATCTAAGTAAAGATCTAAGAATGTGGAAAATGGAAGATTTGGTCAATGACTATTATGCCCGCAAATGTTTGGAGAGAAACCAGAGCGTTGGTTCTAATGTGGCTAGATTGTTCAAGATACCCATTGGAAGATGCTCAGTACCATCTAGTACGCAAGATGTGAATGAGGAGCGAAAATTAGAATTTGTAGAGGTGAGTTGTGTAGTGGTTGGGAATGTATAATATGGATAGGATGTGTGGGTGATGACAGATGAATATACGGGGGTGATGGATGCTATGTACATATCTACATTCTTCGTCGGAAAAGAGAGAAGCTGTGTTATACTATGCTATGGTGGGTGTGGAATTTGTTTTTAAAAAGAAATATTTGAATCATGATGCTACTCGTATATTATGTTGTTTGTAACATCAATTCGGTTTGCTAGTTAATCTATTTTTTTTGTGTTTTGTATTTGCTAAATCAGTCAGTTTAAGTTGCCCTGTTGCTGTTCACGATAGGAATCATGGGATAATTATTCTGGTTTAATTACTACGAATCTGAAAAGTATATTATATTAGAAGGGCATTACTCTAGTAGTATTCTTCTTTACTTCCTGCTATACTATAGTCTTATTACGAGTGAGTCTTGTAGTCCCGTGTATATTGTATATCGGTATATCATATCACTATCAGACAATGACCGACTGACATATATTTCTCTTTGCACTTTGCACAGTCTACTACCGGTACGCAAATTTAAACACCAAAAACCAAGCAGCTCAAAGAGCGCATTACAAGATACAACAGGCCGTTAAATTACAGTCATCAAGCCAATCCCAGTCACAAAAAAACTCCTTGGGAAACAACACTTAAAAATACCAGAAACTCTTCCATCAGAGTATGAGGTTAACTTGGTTCACGGCACTGCGCTGCGTACCATCTCAAAGTTTTCGTATTTTTATAGAATATTCGCAGATACAGATACCAATAAATATGTCCGCGTTGCTTCTTTTCCAGAGTACTGCGCAATCAGGGACTAATGGGGGATCAAAAGTTGTTGATGCTGGAAGGGCATGGAATAGGGAATGGGGAATGGGGAATTAGAGAGTTCATGAAGGCACAGATTGCTATCTGGTTCTTGGGATAAATTATGGAAACATCGACGTTTACCTCCCCATTCAACAAAAATACGGCCTTAGCAAACCGCAGATGCAATCAATTTATCCTCTAATCATCGATCAACTATGAACAGTCCCTCACAACTCTTCTCACTTCTGTAGTTACGGTATCAACGATATACTTCATTTCTACTCATACCCAAAAAGCAATACAATGGGATATTTCTGGTAGTAAATACAACTAACTAGCCGGAGCTTAAAGGATCAAAGACCCCCCTTGTCTCTTTTAGACTAGTCTCCTTTAAAAGCTACTATCGATTAAAGATTGGGAACAGTCAGAATGTTTGCATCCCACCTCCCTGATCTAATCCCTAAAAATTAGCAATCACTCCTTGCTCAGTTGTTTTGATCGGACTAGGAATCGAAATTTAGCCATTTTACTCGTATTTATTAAAACCTTGAATCTACATTCTTTACACCATGGTCTCCAAGCCTGCTCCCTGTCTTCGGAATAATCTATCTCGGAGGCTACAGTACCAAGGCCAATTTGTATGCCAGAACAGGTAGAGAGAGCGAATGAGGAAGCAGCTGCACTGTTTCAATAAAGCTATGGCTTGCGGATATTGTGTATACGCCAAAACCCCATTTAGCGCAAAAGCTCACGATACTTTTGAGAAGCTCTCAAAACTCCAGGACGATATACATAAGCATTGAGATCTACCCAAAAAGGAACAAAATTCAGAAGATAACTCAAGCGGCACCGATGCTGCAAAGACTGGAAATCTCATCATAAGGAAAGGAAGGGAAAAGCCATACAACAGCCCATGCAAATCTGGAGTATGAAGGATCTGATCTAGATCAAATGGACGACAAAGCTCTGGTTTTATGTTATGGATATTACTCGTGTGGGTATAGTGTACTTTGCTTTGAGTACGGTAGTTGGATATGGCAGATGGCTAGTTCATCAGAGTAGCAGATCATCATGGTTGCTTGGGCTTTTCTCCAATAATCATCACTCCCTCGTATCAAGGACGAAAAAGAAGGAAAGAAAGAAAGAAAGAAAGAAAGAAAGAAAGAAAGACATTTGGTTATGCCTAAATGGACATAGACATATAGTATTGTAGGACGAATAATCAATTACATATATCACAGCACCACACCTTGAATTCTATGAAAGCATTGAGATATAATCTCGATTTGTTGAGATCTAGTTGTACATAGCTGAAAGTGTAATCAATCGGGTTGCTGATGCTGCTGGTGGTCGTATGTATGTATGAGCATAATGAGCGGTATATTTATTATTAGATATCAATATCAAACAATAAATGACAGGATTTTACAACATGTTCGTTCCTCAAGATGATTCCTTTCAAGCTACAGTATTAGAAATATTATGAGAGGATATATCATGGACGTTGCGGGAACTGTTACCTGTACTTTATAATCCAACATATTATATGTGATTCAAGATATATCGTATTGAACTGAATTAACTATCGAATGCATGAATCCAATTAAATTATATGAAAGAGATGTACTACAGTAGTGCTAGTGCTGTCAATATTAAAAAGAATTAGAACCTCCATCCGACTTCGTAATATGAATACGCTCCCACGCTAGACTAGATGTATCAAGATTAACTATAACCTCGTACATTGCAAAACTCCTAAATAAGCAGACCAATATGTTAACCCCTTCATTTTCAAGAACGCGGCCACCAACTCCTAACCCGCACCTCCTCTTCGACATCATTACTCCTCATATTCAAATCCCATCATGTGATCATATGCGCAGATAACCTCTCTCTTCATTTCACTCCCATCGCATTCCCAGTAAAACCATCAACCGTCGCTCTTCTCGCAGCCCTCCCATTCTCATCATTCACTATCATCCGATCCGGTGACCCTCTCAAGAACCCGTCTTGATCATACAATCCCAAACTCTCCGGACTATCTCTCCCCCTATTCCAATCTTGCTCCACCGCATTTTCCTTATCTCTTGTTGGACTCCTACTCAATATTTCCCTTGCCACATTAACCGCTTGGCTCCATCCCCACTTTGGTGGTGTTTTCGGGCTGGGATGTTCCATTTTACTTTCTCGGCGTGTGTTTTTCGTGATGGGTTTGATCATCGCGTCGGACCATCTCGTGTCTTTCTTATCTTTGCTTGTTTTTCCTTCCTTTTCTAGGTTTGCACTTGATTTGGATAAGAATAAAGGTTCAATAATTGGCTCATCTTCATCTTCATAATCCATCAAATACTCTATTCCTCCATCGGGAAGAATAGTAAGATTGGTCAGAGACAATTTCTTCTCCTTCACATTCAATCCATGTCTGCCCATCGCAGCCGGGCTACTTCCTCTGGCACTCCCCCCTCTACTTCCCTCACGACTCGCATTTATATCCTCGAGTATTTCTTGCAGATTCCCGTAATTCGGATTCATTAAATCACTCCTGGACTGACGTCTTTCACCAATACTGTTGATACTTGTACTCGAATCGTTCCCCTGGGGGAAATAAGTGCTAGAATATGCGGAATAACTGTTTGGATATAGCATGCTGAGCGAAGATCGATGATTTGGGACAGCTGCACCGTCTATAGGTGAACCGATCGAGAGGTAAAAACGAGACGCACGAGTCATACGTCGATTATCACCCCAATCGAGACCGATACCAGGTACCATCGGAGAGGAATCGGTATCCCCGAGGCTAATGCAAGAAATCTCTGAGTTCATTCGACGCAAAATACCGATACTCGTGGCGATTGAGTTGCGCGAGGAATTAGATGTGTCAGATGTGAGAGTGGTCATCGCGGTGCTATAAGAGGTAGATTTGTGTGGTTCGGGACGGGGTCCCGTGAGATGGACGGGAATGGGAAGGGGGGACTGAGAATTGGTGGCGCAGGCAGAGATGTGAATGGAATGGTTAAGGGTGACGGAGCGTTGGCGCGCAAGAGAGGTCTGGGACCAAGGACTAATGCATTGTTGATGTTGCTCGTAAAAGACTGGGAGAGGGGGGTGATGCTGGATGATGGTCTGGTTTGGGGTATGCTCGTGAATGACACTCGCTTAGGGCTCGACCCTCTGATATTGCTTGTGTTGGTATGAGATAGCCGGGTAAAACTTGACGGGTTACCATTTCGTGGCATTGAAAGCCCCGATCGCAAGGATTCTGGAAGATCTGAGCCACTACCTAGGTCTGGTACTTCAATTCCAGGTTCTGGTGGAGGGAGTGATGGAAAAGAGACCAAAGTTTCAGTGGGAGTGTCTGGACTAAGGATTTCCTCATCAATATTCTGACAATGACGACGGACCTGCGACTTCATGGCAAGTGACGATCGAGCGTGTTTGAAGAATTCGACTTCAGAGTTTATGTTCTCGGTATAATAGTTGCAGACTGATAAAGTTGGCGAGTATTCCTCTGCATCGGGTGACTGGGATGTATATCGTTCTGTTGGCTTGAGTGGTGGAACACTGAAAATCGAAATAACTTTTGAAGATGGTGGCGTGGGAGAGTACTCTTCCGCATCCGGAGATGCATGTCTTTCTACTGGCTTCAGTGGTGGGATATTGAAGGTTGGGTTGATTTTCAAAGGAGGTGGCATAGGAGATCCTTCACGGATCAATGATACCTGCCGCGAACCTGGCTTCAAAGATGGTATAGAAATGCTTGGATTGAATGTAGATACCGACGGTGGTCGTACCATAAGCGCACTAGGTTGTCGACTGGCGAGTGAAGTACACGATGGACTTGGTTCTACTACACGAAGAGTTGGCCTAGATATCAAAGACGTCATGCCAGGAGAGTCGCCTTCCGATTCTTCATGAACTACGCTAACACTTATAGGTCTGGACAATCCCGACATTCGAACAACGTTAGATCGTTTATGACCTTTCCTTTTCGATATTATCTTGTTAGGACTTGCTGAGCTAGATCGAGATTGCATAGCGTCTTTTGGTGACCATCGAAATGGATTGAGCTCTGATGATTGGGGTGGAGATCGAGGTTCCTTGACCAGTGGTCCCTGTTGATTACCTGAGATGTCTTTCAATGGTGAATCACCATGATTCGTAGGGTTTTCTAGTTCTTCTTCTAGTCCAAATGTAGCTTTTCTCATATGCAGAGGTCGTGGTCCATATATCATAGTAGATGGAGTGACCTTGGCGCTCTTCACAGAGGAAAAAAAAGGATCATATGCGATTGATGTCTTTGAGCTGTGATTCGTCTTTGGGGCCCCATCAGAACCCTTTGTAGGCGAAAGATTCATCCGATGTCTCTGTTCAACTCTTCGTCCACTTTTACTGGGCGATGTCAGTTGTGCAGGAATGACAAGATCGGGAGTATCGATTCCGCAAAGGCTGTCATCTGATCCTCCAGAAGGTGTCGGTGATCGTCCTCGGTGTTTGAATGCTCTACCAGCAGTTCGAGGAACTCTCTTCCGTGGACTTGGCGTGCGTAGTGATTGTCTTTCGTGAAGAGAATCAAAATCTGGCGTGGAACTCTCAGGGGCGAGAAGAACCTCCCTGCTTTCTGTGGCTTTATTTAACGGAGGGCTTGGTAACCTTTGTTTGGGCGGTGATCCTGGAAATCTCCCCAGGTTATTCCAACTCTTTCTCACAGATTGCCTGTGGGTATCCATAAGACGCTGAGATGTTGACTTTAAAATCGAAGATAATTGGTTCTCCGAGTTGTATCGACGTCTGTCATGATGCATTCTCGGTTCTCCATCAATGATAGTGATATCCTCCACAGAATCCGAGTTTTTAACAGGAGATTTCCTAGAAAATGTTCTCTTCGGACGCTGTGGCTCAGAGAGAACATATCCTGGTGGAGCGACGCAATTGATTCGTATGTTTTTCTCTGACTGAGCATGTGGGAGCAATGCTATAGGATTTTGAACTCTAGATGCCAATGGCCACGAGTCTCTGATGCTAGACCTTTGTCTCTGGAAAAGACCCTTCTGACCCGATGATCTTTTCGTACCTGGTCTGACTACATTATCATCCTCCTCATCGTCGTCCTCGTCAACAACAAAGCTTGTGTGTACCACCGTAGCGCGCCGACGCGGAACATGCCTAGGAGGTAAATAATGGTAAGGAGTTGCGAACAGAGGAAGAGAATATGTTAATGAATTGGCTCGAACAGCCAAACTGGTCTCCTTGTCGTCTCGGACGTTTTCTCGAAGGCTGACTGCATTGCGATGGTTTCGTCTGACATATGTAATCGCTGTAATCCCAATCACGATTAACACGATGGTTCCGCCAATGGCAATACCAATGATTCCCTCCAGCGGCAAATGTGATGAGCCGATTGAAATTTCTGCCTCCATAGACGGAGGAGGCATGTTGAATTATCGAATTGCCAAGATAATGAATCGAATGTACCGCGAATTTCCAACCTCTCTACTGTTGCTGCCCTTACTTCTATGACAGAATATAAATGAACGTAGATAACATTAAAATTATGAAAATACTCTCCCGTCTATTGGCATGATATCTGCACTTGCGATATTGATTGATAGGGGGATTGATTGTAAAGACAGTGTTGATGTAAATATGAGAAGGATGAAAAAAGAAGAAACAACAAACAAAACTGCCAAGATGTAGAAGTTGCCATGGTGCTTTTCAAAAGGAATGCGAGAATACATTCCTTCTTGTAGGGGGATTGATATCTCCTAGATATCTAATTGGCATTTTGACAGTTTCTCCCTTACACCAAAAGAGCAGAAGGAATGTACCGATATGTGACTATTGAGAGCCCTTGAGCTATCAACAAATACATCGCGATGATGTTTCTATCCACTTATCATTGGATCCATGATGTGCTGTAGTTCACCGATTAAATCCAGGTGAGATGAAGGGGGGGGGAGGGGGGAGGTTCTAACATTTGTATGTATAATTGACATGAAGCAAAAAAGCAGTGGATCATTCAGAGATGTGACTTTAGTGATTTGGTGGCTGGCTTTAGCGAAATTCGTCCAGAATTATTACCACAGTTCACTAAAACATTAGACTGTCTTCTAATTCCACTCCCTCCACAATCTGATCATGAAAATGGGTTTGTTCAACATTCATCATGATCAACAGAACAACTTACGGATATTCAGTATCATTCATCTATTATTTCTGGAGTTATCAATAGATTTGTTATTTTCATTCATCACCTGATCTGCGATAAATCTCACGGGGATTGATTGACGATAAAGGTTGCTTGGCTAGCATCTTTTCATTTCTCTAACAACTCTCAACAAAAGCAATCCATTTTCAATCCAAATCCTTTGGCCATACCAATCTCATGAACATAGGTGTTGGAGTACAGATGTTAGGAGTTCTGCCTGAGACCGCAAGTGTCGCAAACGGAGGTTCTCACCACCCCTTACGTGCGTTCTGCCCACCCCGCTGTCGACATCACTGCACCTACACTCTGGCGTTTGGTCCTAATCATGTATCAGCACAGCTCGAACATTCTACGTGCAACATTCTATGGAGCTTACTGACCACATCGATGTTCCTCTTGTGGGGCATTTGCCACTGACTGTCGATAGGATCTATGGTTCTGCCAGAGGGTTATCGCTGACGTAGTGATGGCGATAATGCCAAAGACGATGGTAAGGACATTGCTATAAGCGAGGCCGTTGGTTGGGCTCATTGAGAAGTCTCGATCCTGGAACGCAAATGCCACACTGGATGTTCCTAAAGACAGCGGCTTGTGGGTCGTCAGTACATTATTCTCTTGAGGGCGGTATAATCAATAACAGTACATGAGGTTTGATTTTGGAGGTACATTTTTGGCTTGATAGGTGGATTTATGTATAAATACGGAGTGGATCTCGTTTGGAGTCGCTCTGCTGTAAAGAGGAACCGACTACTTACACAGGGCATATGACGTGTATATGCTGTCAACGAAGTATCGTGTTAATCATAGCAAAACCTGTGATAATGTCATTTTTGGTTCAGTCAATGTTCGCTCAATCGATCCAAGCCAATCGACAGTTTTTGCGCACTCAATCTTTGCAGTACCGAAGTAAGCATCGGGCGTCAAATCTCCCGTGGAGAAGCCTCTCGAAGTTCATTGGCTGTTTGTAAACATAATTTCGAAAGCCATGCACTATAATCCTATTTAAAGCTGTATGGTTTCTGCGCGATATAAACGTCTTGAGAAATCTAGGATGCTAGGACATTCGATTTTCTTTTCAATAACACAATTTTACAATTCGGCGACGCTCCATTAAATGTCATTTTTGACAAAAGCTTATGCGCTGTACTCCAGGTTCTTCTTCTTTGGGACCTGTATCTCTGGGATCTCAAAACTTTCGACTAGAATCTAAAATTATGCCAGTGGTCAATTCACGTTTTCTAAACCCTTACTACAACCCACTAGCACACTGGGATTCTGAGAATATACTACCGCGAGGGGGTCCGACCCCTGTTTTCATGCCTGAATTAAGTTGTCTGTATTCTACTCAACTGGATCTCCCGCATATACAGGATAGCGTGGGCGATAACCCGCCAGCGACAGAAATGGTTTCGTTGCTGCAAGCACAAGTAGAAATGAAGTTGTGGAGACCACAACAAAATATGCCTTGGAATCCAACACTTTCGTACGCACAAAACCGATCGACTTGCAAGGAATATTCGAATTTGGAGAATCGCCAGCTGTCCTGGATTAGTGGCAGAACACAAAGCACCCGCATATCTTCTCACTCATCAAACTCAAGCCGACATGCGAAATTCTATAGATCAAATCTAATCTCTGCAATGAGTGTTCTCTCTAGAGGCTCGTCTATATCAAGAAATTCTCAATCCGTCAGTGATCAGGAGTGGTGGACTATGGCGGTAGACGATTCTGAAATGACAGTCAAGTCCTCACCAGACCGTTGTCGATTTGAGTCTGCTAGGTCCTTGTTCCATCGACGATGTTGTGGGCTTAAACTCCCACTGGAAAATTGGAGCTGCAGTGAGCGCTGTTCAACTTGTGGATTTGCTATTGTAAGATTACACCATATCGCAAGAACTGGCCAGGAAATGTTACCTCTTAACAGCACAGGAGACATTGTCACCCAAGACAATTTCGGCAATACAGCGTTACATCATGCGGCAGCGGCAGGAAACATTCAATATATCGAGCATGTACTCAAATTCATCAAACCACACACCGTCTTGTCTATGGGCTCCCAAATAGTTCTGGAGAGACTTTCTTACATGTTCTTCGAGAGCCCATGGACGTCTTTAGTGCATGCTTTCCTGCGCATCTGGAGATATACGCCTTGCTGGTACGCAGGACAAATGACTTTCATGGAACGTCATTTGTAGACAAAATAGTGAGTTGTAAACTCGCAGCTCAAATTATGAGCAAAACCCACAATGTGGCACGTTTCATGTGGTTCGAGCAGCTTCCGGCCTGCAACTCAGCCGAGGAAGAGTTCAACTTCGTCGCAGCTACCAGAAACAAACATATACATCTTAGAGACTCGTCCGGATACACAGGTCTAGCAGTCGCAGCTCGTCGGGGTCTGAGACACATCGTCGTTGCCCTGCTCCGGCTTGGAGCAAACCCCAATACCAAAAGTGGTGATGGAACAAGCGTACTTATCCCGTTACAGCTCACCTTGCTTAGGCGAAAAGAACTTCGAATGATATACTTCATGCACGGATTTATGTTGCGCGACAATTTTGACTGACGTCGGTGAAAAGTTAAGGCCTTCTGAAATTGATGAATATCATATCTCAAATTGGCTACCGAAGGGTTTGTATACTCATTCCGCGGGCCAGGAATCAAACTTGGAACAAACGAAAATCCCCGCTAGTAAGGGAAAAAGGCGAGAAAGCTCAAGTCACTCATTACACATGTCGCAGCTAAGGTGATTGCTAAGCGGCCTGTAAATCATGCCAAGCAAGATTCCCAAGCCATCAACAATCGGGGTGATGTTGTTTATAATGGAAGAACCCAGCCCAGCAGCAACCTCCCCAGCCGTCCTTCTCGTGTTGCCAGTCATGAGTTCGAGACTCGAGATATATTCAAGGATTGGCATGCACAGACGTACATGAAATGCCAGGCGAAACCTGCCAAGTCCCAAACCGTCCTTGTTCCTTCCCGTCAAGGTCACTGGTATCCGATATCTCCGAATGCGATTGTTTGGCATATCATACTGGTATGATCTCAAAGATTCCTACATCTTTATCGGGTAGAGATACGGCCGTACCTGCTTCGTGGGAAGATGTGGCAAGTGAATGGCCTGATTCAAGTACATCGTGGGCTTTTGAAAAGCCGCTTTTTAACGAACAATCATCATAGCAATGACCATAAGCCAGAGCTTATATTGGGTGATGGGATGTCACATTCATATCATCTATTTGAGTCCCAACGTTACCAGCCAATGTCAACTTTCGAAGATGAGATTCCTGAGTACGAGTAAGTTTTCATATTACTCGAGTAGTTACTCTCGAGGTTGCTGAATTCGACTTCTGATTGCTGGGCCACTTGCATCTTTGTAAACTTTGTTTCATATCAGGAGTCTCTCGATATTGTTTCCAGAGTATTCATAGCGTGGAGGGACGCCTGCCGATATATCGCAATGGCTAGAGGGCGATTGGAATCCTTATATCGTATCATCATATCATAGGAAAGCACTACAGACATGCAAGAAGCAGAACTTGAAATCCTACTGTACCGATACTAGAGGTTAACTTATAGAATATCTATATGATCAGCACAAGATATATTTGGATATGATGTCCCTAGACCAATTCTGAAGTCTTCTCTTTCCTCATTGGTTGTCGTTTTTCATTGATCTCTAGACCGTGACACATTATGTTTTTGATATCTTATATCGGAGAATCTGATGTATTACTGGAGTATTGATAGTGATAAGGTAGCGAGTATAATTCTTCAACCATCACATCTTCTCCCTCGTGTTTCCAATCTGGATAGACTGATACTAACCATCACCACATCATTTAGCATTACTTTACAACAAATTGCAAAAAACTTCGCAAGTAGCATTTATTTGATACCAGTACACCATAATCTCATTTAATATAGCACAGCACAGCACTGCATAGCATTATGAAAAGCAGGTTTGTATCTCAGTTAATCAACTCGAATAGAATGTCAAGGCAGCACGCTTAAAAAGTTATTCATGTATGTATGTAATGAATGAATCGGCAGTAAAGAAAAAGATAAGCTTTAGTTCCCTCGGGAGTCATCGATTCCCGTGATGAAGTATGATTCTCAAATGATTCTTAAACTTATATCATACAATGTGTTTTTAAAAAGCCCAGAAAACTTGCAAATAGAAAGGAAGAAAAGAAATGAAGTAAAATGAAAAAAACTAAAAAAGTGACTCCTAGATATTTTTATTGACTTTGGTTGGAATTAGATTATCAAGAACTTGATATCTTCATATCAAATCTGTTCAGTAAATGTAATGTAACGAAAAAGAAGACAAACGTATGATAACCTTATGTAAAGCAGCGCCGCCGAATTCCCTACCAAATACCATATACCACGTACCATAAAGCCAACGCCTAGTCCCTGCAATACCGCCCATCCTGAAAACCAATCCTAGTTTCCTCCATATTACATGGTGATGCAGTGCTGCATACGCTTTCTCTCCTTCTTTCCTTTTATCTTCGCCATCATCTTTGCATTTTCTCCCACTAATGTTCCCTCTCCATCCTTCACCTGCACCTTCATCTTCACATCTTCCTTCACCTGCACCTTCTCCTTCACATCCACCTTCACATTATCCTTCACATCCTCCTTCAGCACATTCCCCTCCACATCCTTCGCGTTCACCACCATCTCCTCCACACCCCCCTCCATTCCCTCCACCCCCGCCAAACCTCTCTCCTCCAACTCCCTCCTCTCCCTCTCATCCTCCTTGGCCTGCACAATCTCACATTCCTTCTCCCACCTCTCATCCGAATCCCTATAACCCATCTTCCTGGACTCCTTCTCCAGCCTCTCCTTAAACGCCACATATTCTCCCTCTGCAGTCGTGATGCGCGTCCCTCCATCATCATACAAACTCGTATTCACATAATCATCTTGCGTCGCCAATGTGCCACAGTTACAGTTCGGACAATTGGGGTGCACGTTGTCGCGATAGATGAGTCCGTAGCTGTCGGGGGTTATGGTGCCCGGATCAAAGTATTGAGGCAGGGGATTGTTGATGCGCGGATCTTGGACAGGGAAGCGTCGGTAGTTGGGGTGTTCTTTTTGGGTCGGTCCTCCACCTTTGAGGAAACAACATGATTAGTTTGATCTTTGTTGAAGAACGAAATCAATATGATGAATAACTACTTTACTTACAAAAGGTCTCCCAAGCTTCCCGATCAATAAGAAACTGCACATAATCAGGTCGGAAGATTTGAAGTTGAAGAAATAGCTTTTTGCTTCGAATCAGCTCGGTGGATTTCTCGACGACGGCGGCAAATTCGTCAACGGTAACTACTTTTCCATCCACGGAAGGTAAGTGTTGACTAAGGAGTAGGCGACCCAGTTCTGGAAGCACCGTTTGATAAGTTCTCGAGGCTCGTTGTCCACCTTTCGGAGGCGTAGCCTGATCTGCCATATTGAAGACTTGTGGTTATTTCTGATATCAAAAGGGCAGTTGATGATTGTGAAGTTGTTGTGTTTATCAGGATGATCCCGTTGGAGAGTAGAAGATATCATGAAGATAGAAGATGTGAGTGGGGTATAAGATGCTGAAGATGGATCTCCATAGAAGCCACCAAGGTTGTAACAAACTTATCTAATTTGGCTTGGAGCAGGGTGTTGATGGGAAATAATTAGTCAATACGGTGCATATGGCCTGATTTTCTCGCATTCGCTACACCTTGCGTTTTAAAAGATGGATATAACGGATCGGCCTTACTCTATACGATTTCATTGGATAATTTGCCGCTATTTCCAGATGGTAGCCGTATAGCCGAATAGCCGTATACTATGGGGCAGTGAGGTGAATAATTAGATTCCCGATTGTTGGATCAACTTTTAAATGCAATATCGATTGAATTTGTAGCCTATAGTTAACATTTGTTTAGAACTGGTGACTATGCTTGCTCACCTATCCGGTTGAGTATCCTCTCTCCCTATATCAGATGGGATTGTTCAAGGGAAGGCTTTGGACAAAAGAAAAAAACTAATAGAAGGTCAAAACATTTTACAATCATCTGGATGCCATGATACTTGAAAGTATCTATCACATCAATGATGTACAACTATATTGGATGTATTGCACTATCTTCGGTCCATGGGAATTCTAAAATCAAAGAGAGTATACTGTTACACTCTAAAGCTCGAGAGATAATTCTTTACATGATTATCACCATCGATCCACCATTGATATCTGTTCTGCATAACTTTGTGGGTGTCATTTTTCTAGCTAAAATAAATTCAAGGGTTAAAGATCAATTACGAAATCAATATTTTGGCTTCATGTTTCGCCAATTCTTAGCCGTCTAATGTGAATAGAAACAAATAGATTTTTGTGGATGGATCCACTTGTGTCTATTTCTCATAGAGGCTCTTGATAAGGAAGCAATCCTAAATCTATGAAACCACTAGATCTTTAGACACAAGTAGTGATTTCTAGCCAAGAATAGTAGATTCCAGTGTGGGGTTTTATCCTGGATTTATCTGTGGTCTGCTCAGGAAATGGCCCTCGAGACTTTGTATAATACATTATTCACAATATGTAGTTCTCAGGTTTATTAATTTGACCATCATAGAGATTTGATCATTCAGGTTCATCTCGCAATCCTGAATCAGGGGATTGTATACACAAAGGGAGTAAAGATAATGGAGGCAGATACAGTAGCAGTTTAGACTACATTACTCTATAAAAGTTTGGTAGGAACTTGATAGATTGTGAATGAAGTCCGACTGATATTCAGATATGCAACAAAAGCAGAAAACTACAAGTCACAAGGCTTTGGGGATAGTGGTTGGTTGATCGGAGGAGGTAGATGATTGTTCCGCTATGGTATCCGAGGTTGTGCCGAGCCATGTCTTTCGCTAAACCTCAACCCTGACCTCAATCTTGTTGGGATATTGACGAGTCAGCATAACTTTAGGTGGACCATATAAAATCTCTCCATATGGCCCTATCTATACCTAGATATATACACATTCCTACCTATATCTACTTATATATACTATTGATAAGATATCTACTGTATACTTCATACCGTAACCTCAACAAATCTAATACACTCCACCTTCTATCTTCGAAGACAACATTATCATCTGCTTATAAATCTCTCCTATATAAGTTGAAAGGGCTAGCTATTCTGCAATGTTGGATAAGGTACTCTATTGGTTTTTAGAGCATATCTCAACACTCATACTTATCTTTAATCATTCTTATAGAAGAAAATAATTTAGATTATCAATGATTAGACACTTGTATCTAGATCTTAACCTATTACCTTCAATCAACAAAGAGTGCTCCAAATCTTGCCAATCTGGCCCCCTTTGTATAGGAATTACAATAGCTAGACAAGATATCCTTATTAACAATAGTGAAAGACTAAACACAGGTTACGTTTCATTTTATAGTTTTTTTTCACATCCAATTTTCAGTCGTAAAGCTATAAGGGAACTGTATAGAAGCTATTGCCGTCACTTGACCAATTTGTTGTGTTACTGGAGCTAAATTTATGACTAAAGATTTCCTGCACAATATCCTTGAAGAATATATGTACTTTGTTTACTTGGAAACACGAAAGAAAGTCAGCAGTTTCAAAACATCTACCCAAATCAGAAGACCTATCAAACTATCTTCTTTTCAAGCCCTTCTAGCTGATCAAGATATTCAATAGCAATTCATTTCAGATTGCTCTCTCCTACTCCTTCTGAGTTCCCAAACTGTCATATCCAAGGTGATCAAACAAACATGTCTCATGCTCATTTCACACAAGTGACTAGGAATATTAGCCAGGTGCATTTCCTTAACCGGCTCTTTGTATGCAAAGCAAACAGTACTAGCATATTGTCTCATTGACCATGTCTACTCAATATCTTACCACTATACCGGATGCATCAGTTGTCACACTTTCAGACCAGATAAAAAAATCAAGAGGGCAAAGGGCAGGAAATATACCTAATTTTAGCTCTATTAAGCAAGTTTTGGTCCATTCGATGCAGCTGTTTTTCCTGTTAGAAAAATCATAACCAGCATCGGTTTGAATCCGAAAACTAGTTTATTCGAGACTACTTGAAAGCTAAAAGGTTTCAAGTAGATGGGAAAACTAACAAAATAAGCATAATATCACTTGTAAAAAACCCAAATGACAATCTCGATGAATTATCAGACCAGCCTCATGCTTTCTATCTGTTCCTCTGCTCTCCTCTCCTCTACTATAGTTACTATCTAGTACAACCGATGAGGGGAGATGGTATATGGGTATCTATTGTACGGTTATCCATGATTTAGCCAGGATTAGATTTGATTCCCGCATTCGCATTCCATCAATTACATTACAACAGCACAATGTATCCAGATATAATAATAAACCTAAATATTCGCAGATGTACGCGAATATTCACAGTTTTAATGATAATAACACAACGCGTTTGACTGAATGGAAATTCGAGATCCTCGTATGATATTTAATTTCAAGCTTTTGGATTAAATTTAAAGTTTTAAACGCCAAATTTGAGTTAAGCTTTGTACTTGATGGGTTGCTTAATACTTATACTAATCAGTTTCTACATTCTGCCAGGCCACTGCTGTAGGCCAGCGTATTCAAACTCCCCCCTCTCCTCTCCTTTAGCAAGGAGAGGAGGGAGTTCTTCAACATGAAGGAGAGGAGAAGAGAGGATATTTACGATTCGGCAGGATTTAGTAGTTTCTCCTTGGTCTTAGGAGAGAAGGGGAGTTTGAGAACGCTGCTGTAGGCTAAGTGAATTGTGAACACAGAGACTAATTAATAGGTATGTATCGAGAAAGACTTTTTGTCTACAGGTCTGTCAACAGTTCAGCAATAAAAATTATACAAATTCGAATAAATATTGGATTACCGCTATACTTCGTCGCTATCTTCGAACTCATCATCTTTAGTGGAGACTCTCGGAGCCTCTGCGCCATCCCATATCATGTTGCTTTCATAATCGTATCATCGTATTATCGTGTGATTCACACTAACTACTTCATCAATTATCTCTCACTACTCACTACTCACTAGACCAGCGAATTTTGAAAGCCAGTCATATCCCCACTATCAAAATGATATGATGTATGCAATCGAGGTTGTCTTGAAAGATTTGTCTGGTGTAGATAGAGCTTGTTGTACTATGCGATTTTTACCCTGCTTGTCTGTCTGCATTAACTAATGAGCAGCTGGCTCACATACTATCTACCGGAGACTAATGATAGTGATGAAACATAGCATGAACGATAACAGAATTAAGAGTATATTTCTGGTATAGAAGACTATCTAATTATCAATAATAGAAAGTGAGGCAACATAGATTAATTTATAATGGAAAGCGAGGCTATATAGAATTCTTAAACATACCTAACATATACATCCCTAATAACGAGAAGACTACAAAGAGCGTTCACTGGTGTAACTCCTCAATCTACCAAGCTGACCTATTCTCGGATACCTATATGATATCAAGACTGTTAAATATGACCCTTTCAACCATTTTCACCAATTTCCCAATCACCAGTCCAAAAACAGGAGAGAGCTATGAAATATAGAATACTCGCTTCACTCAAAAAACTTGAATATGGGGCCACCTACTAGGTAGTGTATACTGGCTAGACAAATGAATATGGATATTTAAGAGGTCTACAGTACCATCCTAACAAACCAACACATCAAAGACTTCTTTCTGGATACTTCTTTCTTTGAGAAACTTTGATTGATTGATTGATTGATTTAATTTACGTCCATCTTCAGTCTAAGACTATATAGGACGGCTAGACCCTATAGGCACTAGCAGATAACTTTTTATTTTACAAAAATAGATATGTTCGATTTGGGGAAGTGAAAACAAATGCTGGGGACCAATGCCCGCTTATTATACGCGTTGCATATAATAAGAAAATATGAATATCAAGGGTTATAAGAGGGTTACCCCTCTACCCTCTCTTTCCTCCACTGCTACTTCTTCCTCTTCCACTACTTCTTCCTCTTCAACTACTTCTTCCTCTTCCACTACTATTTCTTCCTCTGTTTCTTCTTGTTCAAGAGCTCTTGCTAAGTGCCATGCCCTTGTAGCAATTTTGGTGGTATTGATGAATTTGATAGCTAGTTCAATTCCTACTTTTGTATATAGTAGGAATTGTATAGTAATCTTGGATAATGGTATATTTTTGAAAATCTC